GAATAGAATAGAATAGAAATTAGAATAGAATAGAAATTAGAATAGAAATTAGAATAGAATAGAAATTAGAATAGAAATTAGAGTAGAAATTAGAATAGAATAGAAATTAGAATAGAATAGAAATTAGAATAGAATAGAAATTAGAATAAAATAGAATAGAATAGAACAGAACAGAATAGAACAGAACAGAATAACTGAGTTGGAAGGGACCTTGGAGGTCTTCTAGTCCAACCCCATGCTAAGGCAGGAAACCCTGTATTTATTTGTAACATCTGATTGGAGTTAACTTAGATTTCTATGGCGATCCTCAGTCATCCAGGTCATTGGGGATTTTTTTTGCTGTGAAAACTTTCAGCTTCTCTTATAAGAAACTTCTTGGATGAGAAGTGAAACGTTTTCAGGGAAAAACCCAAGGAAGTCCAGTTGCCTTTTGGAAAAGCATCTTTGGAATTTACTTTTGATCTTTTATACATTCTTATAAATATACACATATATATGTACAATAGGATGCTGTTTTTCTTTTTTCCTGTTTTATTCTGGTTTGTTTTTTTTTCCTTAGTGTATTTCACCAGGTCTGGTCGAGACCGGATTCGCTTTTAAACTGCACGATAATGATCCGGAAAGAGCTGCGGCCATATATGAGAGTATTAGGGTAAGAAAAAAATCCCAAAGAGCTATAGAGGGGTAATTTTGTTAACAGAAATGTAAGTTTGTTTGTATTTTGGGTTTAAGAATAGGCACTTTCAACTTCTGGGCAGGGCACCCCAAAATTGGATGGGTTCTGGCGAAGGCAGGAAAAAAATCCCTACAATTCAACCTAAACTTATACAAATTTCATTGGGTTGATATAATTATAAGTAGTCCTTTTTTTAGTGACTGTAATGGCACTGATGTTATCAGTTATTATGGCTGGTCCTCACACTTACGATGGGCTCCGAGTTCACCCAGAGCCCGTCAGCTCCGAATATGCCTCTGCAGCCAGTCAGCTGGCCATGTCACCTTATCTCTGCTGCTTCCGGATCTGTATTTCTGCGTGTGTGCTGGCTGAGGGCTTTGGAATGACTCAGCAGAGCTGAGGATGGATTCTGCAACAACTCCGGGGCTGCTGGAACTGGCTCTTTTCATGTATTGATGTGGTGCCTATTGTTAAAGGAGGTTGGGGTACATATAGATGGTAATTAAGACTTAGGTTAAAACATGGTGAAGGTGACACCAGGTGGGGATCAGTTAGTGAGGGTCGGAATAGGGTAGGGATGTAGCCATGTTATAGGGTTAATAGCATTTAGGGATAATGGGTTAGGCCTGGCCAGAATTAGAACTGTGTATAGGCCTCGGTGTGGTTTGGTTTGACTCATGATAATGGTGATAAAAGGAAAGGGAGCAAATTCAAATCCAACTCTAACCTTGCCTGGCTTTTAGCCATTCTTCCCTGATTAGAGTATTTGTTGTTTGATGATATATTGAATAAACCATCATTGTCCTAAAGAGGAGCTGGAGTTTGGATTCATCTAAAGACAAATCTTCAATACCATCTCTACGGCCATGCCATCAAAATTAGGATGCTTTTGGCAACTGGCATGTATTTATAAAGGGTGCAGCATTCCTGGGATCACTTGATCAACATTATAGATCCTCCCAGCCGGCTTCTGACAAGCAAAGTCAATGGAGGAAGCAGGATTTGCATAATGACTGCATGATTCACTTAACAACTGCAGAGAATTGGCAAGAAAAGGTTGTAAAAACCGGACATGACTCAAATTAACAACTGCCTCGCATAGGAACAGAAATTCTGCTCCTAATTGCGGTCTTAAGTTGAAACTACCTGTCCCACAAAGGTTGTTGGTAATTTCCCCCTTGAGACATTTTAGATTTTATTTGATAGTAGTTTTTGACATTTGGGGCTGGCATCTGGTAATGTATTTGTTCTAGCCAAAGGCAAGTTTCTCAGATACAGGTAGTCCTCAACTTATTTTAGTTTACTTTACTTTACTTTATTTTATTGACATTGTACCTCGTACAATGAAATTAAATACCATCTTCAGTGTATCTTATGACTATGAAAATAAAGACACACATACTTCACATTCTATACATTGAATTGAAAACCCTTGATACTGCATTATAACCAGGGGTGGGCTGCTGGGGGCTTTCAGAGGCTCAGGAAAGCCTCTAGCTAAGACTTTGTGGGGCTCCGAGAGCCCCCAATAACTTCAGAAAGACAGCAGCAAGGGAAAGCTCTTAATAGGCTTAATTGAACTTCTGGGCATTCAGCCAAGAGCATTTCACACCTCATAAAAGCGTTGCAAGCTAGATAAACAATCCACTCAGTGCTTACCAGGGAGAGCCATTGAGAAAATTAGATAACATAGCCACTAGCCTCCAAGGGGATTAATTCCCAAATAATAAGAATCACGTTGTCAACTCATAAAATATTTTTATGGTCTTTTTAGAGTTGCCAACAGAAAGGAGAGGGAAGCAGTGCAGTAGCTTGCAAAACCAAAACTACATTCCACAAATGTTTTAAAAGATAGTAACTAGGTGACTGAAGTTTCTGCCTCACAAAATTCTAACTGGAGAGCATGATTGATGACTCTTGGCTTTGGATGTGTCCCATTGGAGAATACGAATTAAGATACACCCAGAGGGGTGGAGGGGAAACCAGGGTCAAGAGTGACAATGAATGATGTGCCTCAGAGTCAGCTGCACCCAGGAAGTGCTGGATTGTTTAACTCCCAATAAATCCTTTTGAAGTTTTGGAAGTTTGGCTCGAGACTCATGATTTAAATGGGGGGTAACTGCCAGAATCCTGACACACGTAACTCACCAGAAACCCCACTAAGACTCCAAGATCCCTCTCACAGTCATTGCTATTAAGCCTGGTTTCACCCAGTCTTTTATTTAAGTATTAAATGCATGAAATAATAAACAACTTTTTGGTGTATATCTGTTTTTTTTTAGGTAATTAGGGCAAAGAAGTGATGTCGAGTTGGCCACACCCAGCCAGTCACATGACCACCCAGCTACACCCACCTAGACAGTCATTAGGGCAGAGAGCCCCCTTGCTAAAAAAATTGGAGCCCACCCCTGCTTATAACCATTTGTTTAGTGACTGTTCAAAGTTAGATCAGTGCTGAAAAAAGCGACATCACCTTTTTTCACAGTTACAACTGTTGTAGTGTCCCAGTGGTCAGGTGATCCAAATTTGGACGTTTGGCAACTGGGTCATAGTTATGACGGTTGCAGTCATGTGATCACCTTTGCGACCTTTTGACAAACAAGTCAATGGGGAAGCCAGATTCACTTAACAACTGTGTTGCTCCTTCTGACCCAAATCCTTTTCCAATAAAACAAACAATAACCAAACCTTTTAATGAGTCTTACGAATCCCCGGTTAAAAGGCTGCTGCAAACTAATTAACTTTGATAAGCACAAACCCCGCCAAAACTGTGCCAAGAATAACAGATAAGAAATGTTTCACAACACAAGAGTCTTCAAATGCCAACTTAAGATACTGCAATGTCCACGAGGCTGGAGTTTCAAAATGAACGTCCAATTCACAGCTGGCTTTTATCTTCTTGAAGGAGGGGCCATTACCTTGCAGCCTTACTCCCGAGTCGCCCGTGCTGCTGCAGCTGCTCTTTCCTACGAGCAGCCCTGCGCACACACGCACTTGGCACAGGCTCCTCGGGAACCTCCTCATCGCTGCTGCCAGCCCCCACAATCTCTGAAGGCCGCAGTCCACTCCCTAATGGTCCTGGCCCCTCATCTGAGTCCTCGCTCTCTTCAGCCGTCTGCACCTGCTGCCGGCTAACCACAACGGTTGCTGACATAACATCCACAGTGATTCACTTAACAACTGGGGCAAGAAAGGTTGCACAAGGGGGCAAAATTAACTTAACAACCTGCTGAGCACAGGAAATTTTGGGTGGTTGCAAGTTGAGGACTACCTGTAATTACCTACAAATTAGGTGCCCTTGTAACTTCACTGATAAGAATGAAAGATGGAATTGAAGACAAGAAAATTAGCAAGAGACGGAAATGGCTGCAGAGAAGGCTGGAGATCGACGGCTTTTTGAACTTTTTTTTGTAAAGTCTAAGCATGCTGGCTGGGGAATTGTGGGAGTTGAAGTCCACAAGTTTTAAAGTTGTCAAGGCTGAGAAACACAGTGCTCCATAGCCCAGGTTAGAGGATCGACCAGTTTGAAGACCTCAAGGGAAAGAGAAGACGCCATTTCATACGGCATCCTGGTTGACCACTTGTAGACTTAGGACATTCTTCCAGAGGTTTAGCTTGAATTGCCTTCTTTATTTTAACCCTTTGGATTCATTCCTGACCCGGGGAGGGAAGGGAAGGGGAGGAGGTAACAGTGCTTAAGACCCTTCCTTCTTTTGTTTGGAAGAAATGCTAGTATTTCTCCCTTACTTATTTTTTTTCTCTGGCTAATCATATCCAAATTGTTTAGCGGTCCTTTCTCACCATATTGGTAGACTTGAATTTGCCACTGTCCCTTTGGAATGATGATGCTTCAAACTGGATATAGGTTTCCAAGCGCAGCCCGTCTGTCTTCTTCCTTCCCTTTCCCTTTTCCTTCTTCTCTATTCCTGCTCTTCTTCTTTTTCCATTCCTTTCCCTTGTTCTTCCTTCGTGATCCCTTCTCCTTCCTCTTTCCCTTCCTTCTTTCCATCCCTTCTCCCTTTTTCTCTTCCCTCTTCCTATTTTTCTCCCTTCCTCTTTCTCCTCTTTCTCCTCCTCCTCTTTCTCCTCCTTTCCTTCTCCTTCTCCCTCTCCCTCCTCCTGTTCTTCTTCTTCTTCTCCTCCTTCTTCCGTCTCCTCTTTTTGTACTTTCTTTTTGCTCTTTTTTCCTTCCCTCCTTTCTATCTTTCTTCTTCTTTCTTTCTTTTCCTTTTTTCCTTCCTTCTTTTTTCTTTCTCCCCCTCCTCTTTTTGCTCTTTCGTTTTGATTCCTTTTCTTTCTTTCTTTCTTTCTTTCTTTCTTTCTTTCTTTCTTTCTTTCCTTCCTTCCTTCTTTCTCTTTCTTTCTTTCTTTCCTTCCTTCCTTCCTTTCTCCTCCTCCTCCTCCTTCCCCCCCTCCTTCTTCCACTTTTTCCTACCTTCTTTTTCTCCTCCTTCGGATAAAGGAGAATATTGGTAGCTCAGGATTGAAACATGGGGTCCTTGGTGCTCTCTGAGCTTGGTTGTTTTCTTGCAGTCGTTTCATAACCCGACTAGGTAATACCATCAGTCACTGGATCCTTCGTCTCTTTCTTTTCTACTCTCCCCCTCTCCCCTCCTCTTTCCCCTTCCCCATTCCTTCTCCTCCCTTCTCTTCCCCCTCCTCTTTGTTATCCTTTTGGCTGTTTCTGGTTAGAAGGAGGGCATCATTGCACATACTCATTTTGTTTCTGTGGGAGAGAACAGTTGTATTTGAGAGAGATTATTGGCATGTGTAGATACGAGATTGATTTTATAAATGGGTTAGCCAAGACTTAACTTCAAGGTAATCTGCCAAGAAATTCATAATCTGAGTAGACCTTTGCACTTCCTGCCTGTTCCTTCCTTTTCAGCAACTTCTATTCTTAGCAAGAACGCCCTCTTCGCTCATCAGTAATTTCAGGAAAAAACCAAAACCCTTCAGTTTTACTGTCAGTAAATTGGATACATGCAAAAGGGGAAATCAATTGATTTTGCAACCAATTTTATAGTCCTTTAGTTAGAAGTCATTCATTCAATTAATATAAATTTAGGCTTTTGTCTTATCCTTTTTTGGTAACTGGCTTCTGGCTGATATTGTATACGCAGATACATACATGTCTTTGTTTCACACGTGTAAGTGTACCACACACTTGGGGTTGTGTTTGTTTACTTCATTTCTGTTCTACCTATGATAATACCTTGGCAGGATAGAGTCAAGTTATTACACAATAGATTTACAAATAAAATACACCCTCAATCCACTTTAAAATAACTAAATGCAGGAAACCATTAAAAGAAATCAACAAATGTTATTTTCAGAAAGTTAAAAAACCCTTTGGAAAAATATAGTTTTAATGCCTTTAATAACGTTGAGTGGATTGCAAAGCTATTCTGCCTTGGAATGAATGCTGAGCCTTATTACTAACTTGGAAGCTTTGGCTAAACTACAGAGATCTTTCAACTATTTTGGCAAGCAGACATGAATCAGGAGTAGTGTGGGGTTAGAATTGTGCGTCTTTCTAGACTTCTTGACTCCACCTTCCCTCTAGCCCTGGATAGAAAGCTGATTGTGCTTCCAGATTTCCTCAACTCTGGGGCATAGTTAGGTAATTTTGGACTCTGAACTGTGAGGTTATGCTAGTACATTGAGAGGGAAGGTTGATGGCACAGTGCAATGTTCCACAAGCTTGGTGATTTAAAACTGTGTGGACTTTGACTCCCAGAATCCCCCAGCCAGTGTGCTTAAAGTTGAGTGAACTATTAACTCCCAGAATCCACCTGCCAGGGCGTTTGAAGATGTGTGGGCTTCAATTCCCAGAACCCCCCAGCCAGTGTGGTTAAAGTTGCATTAACTTCCACTCCCAGAATCCCCCAGCCTTCAAGTTTATGGAGATTCTCAGTCCTCCAGGTCATGGTTATCCCATAGGTGCTATTTTCAGGAGGCAACTGGAATTTTCTTTGTTTTTCTTTTCTTTGAAGACGTTTCACTTCTTATCCAAGAAGCTTCTTCAGTTCTGACTGGATGGTGGGGAATGGAAGGATTTATACCCCTTGCAGACAGCTGGTCATTTGCATCCTTTTAGAGAGTCCTTGAGGCCACTTGGAAGTTTTATCTGTGTCCTGGGGGGGGGGGGCGGCAACGGAGTAGGGCAAATAGTTCCTGTAGTCTGCATTTCTTCCCCCTGGAAATCCATTTATTCCCACACCTTCCATTCCTCACCATCCAGTCAGAGCTGAAGAAGCTTCTTGGATGAGAAGTGAAATGTCTTAAAAGAAAAAACAGGAAAAGTCCAGTTGCTTCCTGAAAAAGCGCTCTGTGGGACTTCAGCCTGGGCCTGGCTAGTCTAGTGAAGAGAAGGACCAGGGGAGACATGATAGCGGTCTTCCAATATTTGAGGGGCTGCCACAGAGAGGAGGAAGGGGTCAAGCTATTTTCTGAAGGCCGGACAAGGAATATTGGATCGAAACCGAACAAGAAGAGATTCCACCCGGAAATAAGGAGAAATTTTCTGAAAGTGAGAACGATCAACCAATGGAACAGAAGTTGCCTTCGGAAGTTGTGGGAGCTTCATCACTGGAGGCTTTCAAGAAGTCTGTGTGCTTTAAAAGATATGGGCATCAATTCCCAGAATCCCCCAGTTGGTGTGCTTGAAGTTGTGTGAACTTCAACTCTCAGAACCTCCCCCCCCAGCCAGCATCCTTGAAGATGTGGACTTCAATTCCCAGAATCTCCCAACTTTAAGCCATGTGGACTTCAACTCCCAGAATCCTGCTGGCTGAGGAATTCTGAGTGTTGAAGTCCTCACATCTTAACGTTGCTAGTCTTGGAAAAAGATGGTAGCTAATGACACCAGTGTTTGAATCCTCTGCGTATCAGAAAGAGGAAGTTTCTGGCCTGATTTTTATCAATTTTCTAAGTAACATTGCGGCCAGGGAATTGCTCTAGCTCTGTAGGACTGCTTGGACCCATCAACAAGGAGGAGCGTTCGAGAAGTCCCTGATGGACAAGCTAGAAATTAGTGTCAAACTTTCAGAAATGCAATGACTTCTGAAATCTCAGCTTGGCCATAGAGAAGGGGAGGATGGTGGAGAAGGGCTGGCTGGGGCAGGGGTGTCAAACTGTGAGATGTGTCAACTCATAAAATATTTCTGTGGTCTTTTTAGAGTTGCCAACAGAAAGGGAGTGGGGAGAAAGGGGTTTGGAAAGAGCAGTGCGGCAGCTTGGAAATCGAAAGTGCATTCCACAAATGTTTTCAAAGATAGTAACTAGGTGACTGAAGTTTCTGCTACACAAAATTCTAACTGGAGAGCATGGTCGATGATTCTTGGCTATGGATGTGTCCCATTGGAGAATATGAATTATGATACACCCAGCGGGTGGAGGGAAAACCAGGGTCAAGGGTGACAATGAATGATGTGTCTCAGAGTCGGCTACACCCAGGCAGTGCCGGACAGTATAACTTCCAATAAATCCTTTTGAAGTTTTGAAAGTTTGGCTCGAAACTCATTATTTAATTGGGGGTCACTCCCGGTATCCTAACAGCATGCTTAGATGCGGCGCGTGGGGCCGCTGTGGGAACAGCAAAGGACTGGTGCCTGTGCCAGCGGAAATGGAGCTTGGAAGAGCAGTGATGGCCTCCCGAAACCCTCTATCAGTGAATAGGGAGCTCCATTTTTGCTGGCGGAGGGCTAGCAAAACAAACTATAAACAAAAGAAAAAGAGAAATGTTCCCCTCACTTTGTATTTGAGCATGCAAGAAGGGACAGGAAAGGAGAAAGGGAAAGAAGAAAGAAAAAAAGAAGAAGGGAAGATGGGAAGCGAGCGAGGAAGGAAAAAGAAGGAAATAGAGTAGAGTAGAGTAGAATAGAAATAGGAATAGAATAGAAATGGAATGGAATGGAATGAGAATAGAATAGAATAGAATAGAATAGAATAGAATAGAATAGAATAGAATAGAATTCTTTCTTGGCCAAGTGTGATTGACACACAAGGAATTTGTCTTGGTGAAAATGCTCTCAGTGTACATAAAGAAAAAATAAAATACATTCATCAAGAATCATAAGATACAACACTTCGTGATAGTCATAGGTTACTAATAAGCAATCAAATCATACTAGGAAACAATAAAAACAATACAAGTTGTAAAGATACAAACAACATGGATATAGCCATAAGTGGGAAGAGAGAGATACTTGTAAGTAAGGAAAGAGAAGAAGGAAGAAGGAAGGAGAATGAAGAGGGAAGGAAAAAGAAGGGAAGGAAAAAGAAGGGAAGGAAGGAAGGGAAAAAGGAGAAGGAAGAAGGAAGGAGAAAGGAAAAAGAAGGGAAGGAAGGAAGGGAGAAAGGAGAAGGAAGAAGAAAGGAAAAAGAAGGGAAGGAAGGGAGGGAGGGTCTGAAAGAAGCTCTGCCTTAGCACTTGGTCACCACAGGTACCCCTGACACAAGAGATGTTGAGCTGGCCACGCCCATCTCCCCCCCCCCATCAAGCGCAACCCTGATGCAGCCCTCAATGAAATCGAGTTTGACTCCCCTGGGTTGAGGCGACCTTTCCAAAATCATCTGGAAGTTGTTTCCTATTTCATGATCCGTTACGCATAAATACATACTCCAACCCTGGAAGTTTTTAAGAAGAGGCTGGACAACCCTTTGTCTGAAGTGGTTACAGGGGGTCCTGCCTGAGCAAGGGGGTTGGACTAGAAGACCTCTAAGGTCCCTTCCAATTCTGATATTCCATTAATCTTTTCTGCATTCTGTTTCTGTCTCTTTCCTAGTGTCTAAAAGCTGAAGATATGGCCAACGCTGTAATATATGTTCTCAGCACTCCACCTCATGTACAGGTAGGACTTTCTGGCTATTTTTTATTTTGTAAATGGGTGGGATGAGGGGAAATTATTTCTATGATGGTCCCTGGGGGAGGAAATGGCATCCCACACACATCCCTGCAAGTGCTGTGCTGCAAAAATTATTCTGACTTTATGGAATCACTAATGCAAGGATGCTATGATGTCACTAGTGCAATGACATCATCCTGTGCATAATGTTGGCGTGCTTCTATCAGGTTCCTGTTGTTACAGACAGTCCTTGACTTACAATTATTTGTGTTCTGACCAAGGCTTTCGAGAGCGTAATTACACACAAACAATCCCTCGAGATAAGCACCCACCTTTCTTTCCTGTGAAGTGCTGCCAATAACAGAAGTATCCAATGAACTAGAAACAAAACCAACGGAAGTACAAAGAGCTTCAAAAATCAATCTGAACCGAACGAACAACTTTGCTTCCTGCAAAGGTTTCTTCACCTTTGCCTGTCCTTTATACCTTTCGGGAGGGGCAATCACCTCCCAGCCTTACTACTGAGTCGCCCCTTTTGTTTCAGCTGCTCTCGCCTTCCAGCAGCTCTGCGCACACGTGCACTGGGAACAGGCTCCCCTAGTTCCTCTGCCTCGCTGCTGCCAGACTCCAGAGGCTCCGGAGTCAGTACCCCACTCCCAGATGGTCCTGGCCCCATCTCTGCATCGTCCAAGTCCTCTCCAGACTCACAGACTGATCCCGGTTCTTCCCCACTGTCCGATTCCACGGCCGTCGGCACAGGCTGCCGGCAAATCACAACAATTTGTTTTGGGACCATTCGAAGTTAGAACACCAGTGAAAAAAAAGTGATGTGTGACTGTTTTTCACACTTACGACCATCGCAGCATCTGCATGATCAAAATTAGGACGCTGGGCAGCTGACGCATATTTATGACGGTTGCACTGTCCTGGGGGGGTCATATGATCCCCTTTTGTGACGTTCTGACCCACAAAACCAATGGGGAAGCCAGATTCACTTAACAGCCGTGTTAGTAAATTGACAACTGCAGCAATTCACTTAACAAACGTGGCAAGGAAAGTTGTAAAATGGGGAAAAAAACTTACTTAACTGCCTTGCCTAGCAAACAGACATTTTGGGCTCAATTATAGTTGTAAGTTGAGGCCATCCCGTATTTCCCCCATTGCTGTTATCCTCCTTATTAATTTACATTTCTCAGCCACCGCTTTAAATTTGCCTTTTTTAGATTCACTGACTTGATAGAGCAGGGTGTCAGCGTTCCAGCAAACCTCCATTCCGCCCAATAACTCCAAGACAGGCATCTTCTCAAAAGGTCCTTTTATTTGGATAATAACTGGCACAACTGGGGAATCCCGAACCTGAAAGTTCCCGTTCTGACCCATGTCCTCTCCCGACAGATCAAACCCACAAGTTCAAAAGGAACAAAAACCTTGTTAATGCTTTCACAAAATAATTAGCTGTGATAAGCACAAGCCTTGCCAAACTGTGCAAGGCTTGCCAAAAGATAACAGACAAGAAATAATTTGCAATGCAAACTCAAGATACTGTAATGTCCACGAGGCTGCAGTTTCAAAAGGTTTGTTTCACAGCTGGCTTTTATCTTCTTGAGCCATTACCTTGCAGCCTTACTCCCGAGTCGCCCGTGCTGTTGTAACTGCTCCAGTGTGGCAGCATGGGATCTCAATATCACTTCCAAAGCTGACACAGAGGTCCCAAAACTGTGGGCCACAGTTCACTAACAGGCAGCACCCTATTTGCAACTGGGCCGCGTGAGAGACCTGCTGGGGTGTGTGCACGTGCGTGCAATTTTCACACTTTCGATCGTTGCAGCATTCCCCATGATCACGTGACTTACATCGGGATGCTTGACAGTGGACTCATGTTTACGACGGTTGCTGTGTCTTGGAATCACCCGACCGCCCCCTTTGGCGATCTTCTGACAAAGTCGATGGGGAAACTGGATTCGCTGAACAACCATGGGGCTAATTTAAGAATTGCAGTGATTCGTTTAACGAAGGCGGCGGAAGAAGTCGTAAACATGGGGTAGAACTCACTTGTAACAAATTTCCCACCCAGCCATGTCAATTTGGGGGTCCGTTGTGGTCGTAAGAAGGGGTGGGATTCAAAAATCCCAACAACCGGTTCTCTGCCCGGTTACTGGGTGGGTGCGGCCTATTGGAACTTCCTGGAGGACTGTTTTTTTCCCTTCCCCAGAGTCTGGAGGCTTCCCTCGGGCCTCTGGGAGGGCGAAAATGGCCTCTCCCGGGCTCCAGAGGCCCTCTGGAAGTGGGAAACAGGCCCATTTCTGGACTTCTGGAATTTCTGGGAGGCCCGATTTCTCCCTTCCCAGAGCCTCCGTGTGGACCCTGCACTGCATCCAAAACGGGCCATGTGGAGACTCCTGAGAGAGGAGGAGAAAGCAAGGCCAGCCAGTTCGTTCGACTATCGGTTCGGCGAATCAGATGTAAATTTAACATCCGGTTCGGTTGAACCAGTCCAACCGGCTGAATCCCACCCCTGGTCTTAAGTTGAGGACAACCCGCATTCTGCTCCATTTCACCTGGTGTCGGTGACCAAACTCTCTTTGTGTCTTCCAGATCGGCGATATTCAGATGAGACCCACCGAGCAAATGTCATAGCTGAGGAAGAAGAGGATGGCACAGCCTTTCTCAAAACAGGGTTTTCTTCAGATGATCCAGTGACTTTCTAAGGGCCTCATGGGGGAAGGCCCTGACCCACAGCCCCTTCGGCCATCTCGGTCTCCTCAGCTGAGCTGACCTCAGTGGAAACTGACAGGAAAAAAAAATCCAGTCCTCGCCATAATTCCTCCACTCATCCTTGGTTCTGTCCACCATGGTTAATTTGTAAGCCACCATTCCCAGTGCACCACGTCCATGTCACCGGATTCTGATGTTTTTGGGAGAAAGGGACCAACGGCGGATCCAGATGACGAACATTTCATGAGCTGATTCCTTCAGCTACCCTTTGTGACTTGCAACCAATGTACGGTTTTTCTGGAAATGCATTGAAACCGAAACGCTACCTGTTTTTTTCTTCCTAGGTCTGTGATGGTGGACCAGATGGTGCACGCAGGGACATCTCTCTCTGGGCACGCCAGCTGTTGTGATGTCGCCCATTGCTCTTCCAGGTTCCAGCACTCGCTGGTCAGCTGGTCTTTGCGCGCATGGGAGTGCCGGAAACTAGAAGAGCATCTCCCAGTGAGCAACATGCACACCAGACACCGGGTCTTCCAGGTTTTTAAGGTGCATGTGTGTACGAAGACTAGCTGGCCAGCAGGCATGCGTGTTAAAAGCCGGCTGGCCAGCCGGTTTTCCGGCTTCTAACGTGCACACATACACGTTAGAAGCCGGGAGACCAGGTGGCCAGTGCCAAAAAGATTAACCACCACTGTCCTAGGTGGTCATACCCCAAAATGTTAAAAAAAGAATATTTTCCCTCTTCTGGGCACTGAGGAGTGGCCTTCAGACCCATTAAAGGAGAATGAAACGAAATCCAGCTAGCTTAGAAGCGATTTCCATTCACTTAGAGCAGAGGTGGGCTGGGATCGCAGGTTCAAATCTTCACAGCTTTTTGGTTGATCTATGGGCAGTCCTTGACTTACAACAGTTCATTTAGTGACCAAAGTTACCACGGCACTGGAAAATGCGACTTGTGACCGTTTTTTAAACAGTTATGACCGCCGAAGTATCCTCCTGATCATGGGATCGAAAGTCAGATGCTTGGCCATTGACTCACATTTATGACGGTTGCCGTGTCCCAAGGTCATGTGATCGACCCCCTTTTGTGACCCTCAAGCAACGTTAATGGGGGAAGCCCAATTCACTTAACAACCGGGTGACTCACTGTAACAACTGCGGTGATTCACTTTACAGCTCTGGCAAGAAAAATTGTAAAGTGGGGGCAAAACTCACTCGATACTTATTTCACTTAGCAACAGAAGTTTTGGGCTTAATTGTGGTTGTAAGCCGAGGACTAGCTGTCTGTGTGTGTGTGTCTATATATATATATATATATATATATATATATATATATAGAGAGAGAGAGAGAGAGAGAGAGAGAGAGAGAGAGAGAGAGAGAGACTAAATCTTGAGTTCTGGAGCTGCAGAGGAAGGCAATACAGGTGGTCCTTGACTTACAACCATTCCTTTAGTGACCGAAGTGACAATGGCACTGAAAAAAGGGACTTGGTCCTCACACTTACGACTATTGTAGCATTTCCTGTGGTCACGTGATCGGGGCACTTACTAACTGGCATGTATTTATGATGGTTGCACCGTCCCTGGGACCTTTGACGACCTTCCCAGCTGCCTTCGGACAAGCAAACTCAACGGGGAAAGTCAGATTCACTTAACGATGGGAGCGATTCGTTTAACTGTGGCAAAAACGGTTGTAAAATGGGGCATGACTCACTTAACAATGGCTTCACTCAGCAAATGTTGGGCTTGATTTTGGTGGTAAGTTGAGCACTAGATCATAGATCTATAGATCTGCGTAGATCTACTAGTTGTAGATCTATAAATCTACTCGGTGGGTACGGGTGCCTGTAAGGGAATCGGAAAAATTCATGGTGGCTGCAACTATACAATCCAAACCTTGGCCCTTTTATGCATGTAACAAGGGGCGGGGCGGGGCTCTGATTGTACAGGTAGTCCTCAATCTATGACCATAATGGAGCCCAGAATTACAGGTAGTCCTCAACTTAGTAACAGTTCATTTAGTGACCGTTCAAAGTTACAACAGCACTTTAAAAAGTGACTTATGATCGTTCTTCACAGTTACAACCTTTGCCTTATCCCCATGATCATCTGATCAAAATTTGGATGCTTGACAATTGACTCATACTTATAACGGTTGCAGTGTCCCGGGATCACGTGATCTACTTTTGCGACCTTCTGACAAAATTTTGGGCTCAGTTGTGGTTATAAGTGGAAGGACTGCCTGTATGTACTGTTGTAAGTAGTTGCGGTCATCAGGCAAGGCATCGCCCAATCAGATTCGAAGTTATGAACAGTATTTATGGTGCTCATTGAGCACAGAAATTGTTAAGCGAATCCAGCGGCCATTAAGTGAATATGGCAGTCATTAAGTGAAACCCTTTTTCCCAACAAGAAAAGTCTTGCTGGAAACGAGAAGTAAATCCAACACCAACAACTAGAATAGAATTGAATAGAACAGAATGGAATAGTTGGAAGGGACCTTGGAGGTCTTCTAGTCTAACCCCCTGCTTAGGCAGGAAATCCTATACCATTTCAGACAAAGGATTATCCAATCTCTTCTTAAAAACCTTCATAACCTGGAGCATTTACAACTTCTGGAGGCAAGTACTGATTAATTGTTCTGTCAGGAAAATCCTCCTTAGTTCTAAGTTGCTTCTTTCCAGGGGTGGGATTCAAATTTTTTAACAACCGGTTCTGTGGGCGTGGCTTAGGTGGTGGGCGTGGCTTGGTGGTCATGTGACTGGGTGGACATGGCTTGGTGGTCATGTGATTGGCTGGGCGTGGCCAACTCAATATCACTCACATCGAGGCACGCATCTCCTCGCCTGGCCTCTCATGACTGTGGGGGTGCTGCAACAGTCGTAAGTGTGAAAAATGGTCATAAGTCACTTTTTTCAGTGCCATTGTAACTTTGAATGGTCACTCCACACAAGCAAAGTACCAGCAAAGGAGGGGGAAAAATTCCAGAGAAGTTCCTGAGACAGGAAGTGTAGTCCTGCCAAGAATGTAATAAGGGTCAACGGAGAGGCAATTTCTGTAAGCAACTCCAGAATGTTTCCTTCCTGCCTTCCTTACAGGATTAGCCCAGGAATTTCTTCTAACAACCGGTTCTCCGAACTGCTTAGAATGTTAACAACTAGTTCTAGCAAATAAGTGCAAACCGGTAGAATCCCACCCCTGCTCCTTTCCTTGATGAGTTTCCACCTGTTGCTTCTTGTCCTGCCTTTAGGTTCTTTGGAGAATAGCTTGACCCCCTCTTCTTAATTATAATAATAATAATACACAAGCTGCAATAGCCATAAAAGTGAGCCGGTTGCCAAGCCCCACAAATGCCATCCCATGATCATGTGTGTGGCTGGGGCCACCGTAATTTTGAAAATGAGTTGGCTGTAAGCTCTGGGAGATCTGTTGTAATTTCGAATGGTCTTTAAAGTTAAGCGACTAGTCATAAAGTCAAAGGCTACCTGTACAATTGTGACTGTCATCTTGTCCTTTTAAAGCAGCCTTACTTTCCCTCGGCAGCCAATTCCCAACTTTGTGAAGGAGCAACGACATTGTTCCAAGTGCCAATGACGTTGTGTGCCCTGGTCATTTTCACAAAAACGTCACAAATGCATAACTTCCGCCCCTCCTTCCACACTTCGGGACACCTATGGGCAATAATCATTATTCTTTGTGTGTGTTGTGTTGGGAATTGTGCAAGCATCTGCCCCTTTGTATTATTTTAAACAGAATAATAACTCTATCATAGGATTTTAATATGTTTTATTCTGATGTTTTGTTACTTTGTATTCTGCGTTTTATATGTATATTATAAATATATATATTATATTTTAATATATATATTTACAAATAGCTCCAGGCACTGAACATACTCATTACAGGTAGTCCTCAACTTATGACCACAACTGAACCCCAAATTTATGTCGCTAAGTGAGACATTTATCCCATTTTAGAATTCCTTGCCACAGTTGTTAAGTGAATCATTGCAGTTGTTAAATTAGTAATCTGGTTGTTAAATGAATCTGGCTTCCCCATTGACTTTGCTTGTCAGAAAGTTAGAAAAGTTGACCGTATGACCCCGCGACACTGCAGCACTCATAAATATGAACCAGTTGTCAAGCATCTGAATGTAAATCACGTGACCATGGGGATGCTGCAACGGTCATAAGTCTGAAAAATGGTCATCAGTAACTTTGGACGATCACTTGGTGAACTGTTGTAAGTCACGAACTATCTATATACCTTCCTCCTCCTATTTTCCCCACAACAACCACTGTCTGAGGTGAGTTGGGCTGAATGAGTGATTGGCCCCAAAGTCACCCAGTTGGCTTTCATGCCTAAAGTGGGATTAGAACTCAGCATCTCCTGGCAATTGCCCCAAAGTCAGCCAGTCAATTTTCATGCCTAAAGTGGGATTAGAATTCCGCATCTCCTGGTGATTGACCCAAAGTCAGCCAGCCAGTTTTCATGCCTAAGGCAGGATTAGAACTCAGCATCTCCTGGTGATTGGCCCAAAGTCAGCCAGTCGGTTTTCACCCCTAAAACAGGATTAGAACTCAGTATCTCCTGGTGATTGGCCCAAAGTCAGCCAGTCAGTTTTCATGCCTAAAGCGGGATTAGAACTCAGCATCTCCTGGTGATTGGCTCAAAGCCAGCCATGTCTAAGGCAGGATTAGAACATGTCAGATGTCGCCAAACAGCTGCTCTGTTTGGGTAGTTTTGAAGTACAAAGATGATGGTAGCTTCCCTTATCTCATTAGACAACCGGATGGCTTGCTGACTGGGGAATTCTGGACTTGAAGCCATATATATATATATATCTTTTAAGTTGCTAAGGTTGCTAAGGTTGAAAAATACTGGCTTGTAAAGATCAAGTTGATGCTCGAGGGCCAAAAATTCTTTTTTTAAAAAAAAAATCCTATGACACCTGCAAAACAGGGGCAGGATTTGGACGGCCCAATCAGATTTGCTGTTTTGTCTTTTTGGACCCCTGCCCACTCCCATGGACATCCCTATAAATGGAAGCACACGTACACACAAACAAAGGTGTATTTTAATAACCCGGCTCCATCATTCCATCTGCAGGCAAACATGCAATACTTTTCCTCATTAGGAGTTGTGAAATACTAACATGGGAACATTTTTTTTTGTTTTTGTTTTTTAAACTGGCATGAACTGAACAAACATTTTGACAAATGAACAGACATCGAGTTAATATTTCGTAAAAGACTTAATGTCCCCATCCTGCCACATGTTTACCAAGAAATAAGGCTCACTTTCAGCCTGGCGCCCGTAAATTCAGCCCAAATGGGTCAGTTTTATTTATTTTTTTTATTTTCTGGTTGTATTCAGAGCAGAGCTGAAAGCCGGGGGGAAAAAAACTTGGTGGGTTGCCTAAGGTGAATGGAGAATTTTCCTCGCCAAGGCCAGCCTCGGAACCAGCTTTCCTAATTTAATCTCGGCTGCCACGCTTGCCTGCTTCTGTTTTAGCGTCGAAAACATGTCCCTGTAGCAAATTCAGGGGACTGTTTCTAAATCAATCCCACTGGACTTAGGACCGAGTAGGATGCAGTTAATGATTTAAAACTTCTGCTGCTAAAGATTTGTTAAAAATTAAACTCTGCAGGAAATAGGACGAAAACCCACCCAAAAAACTCCCCAAACAAATTCAGAAATATTTAATTTATGACTCGTGTTTTCTCCCAGCATATGGATCAGTCTTCCCTCTCTACTTTTCCACACAACAACCCTGTGAGGTAGACTACACTGGGTGGGGCTGGAGCAAAGTGAGACCATGACAGTCCATGGCTGAGGTGGGGAGGCTCCAAGCGGAGATGGCAGCAGAATTGGACAGTGGGGAAGAACATGGGCCAGTCTGGGAGTCTGGGGAGGATTTGGACGATGGTCCTGCATCCGATACAGAGATTGGGGCCAGGGCCATCTGGGAGTTATGTGCTGACTCCCGAGCCTCCAGAATCTGACAGCAGCAAGGCAGAGGAACAAGGGGAGCCTGTTCCCAGTGCGTGTGTGCGCAGAGCTGCCAGAAGGCAAGAGCAGTTAACACAAAAGGGGCAACTCGGGAGTAAGGCTTGGAGGTGATTGCCCCTCCCATAAGACATAAAGGAAGTGCAAAGGGACAGGAACCTTTGCAGGAAGCAACGTTGTTCGCTCTGGTCGGTTTGGAACCTGAAAGTTCTGTGGTGAATTTGTGCTCCGTTTGGTTTTGAAAGACTAATTGGTACTTCAGTCGTTGGCAGCACTTCAAGTAAGATAAATGTGCGTTCTTATCAGACTTCTCCCGAAGGACTTTGGCAGACTTCCATGGGACTATTACAAACTGTTTGAGACTCATTGCGGACTGTAAATGACGATAATTCACAGCCGTTGAACTAAAATAAAAGGGTTTTGGATTTAACGTGTGTTTGTTGGTGTCTCAGGAAGCCTTGGTCAGAACAGGTGCTAGGGGAGAACTTTAAACCTGATACCACCCAAAGAGGGCAATCCTCAACTTACGACCACAGTTGAGCCCAAAATTTTGGTTGCTAAGCAAGACAGTGAAGTGTGTTTTGCCTCCTTTTATAACCTTGAATCTGATTTCCCTGTTGGTTTTGCTCGTCAGAAGGTCGCAAAACGGAATCACGTGGCCCTGGGCACTGCAACTGTCATAAATATGAGTCGGTCGCCAAGCACCTGAATTTTGATCACGTGGTATACTGCAACTGTCTGGGAAGTCTTGTTGGAAGGAAAAAACCCGGTCTGGTTTCAAGCCAGGAGAAAGATGGAGGAGTCAAGCTGCAGGAAAGGAGAATGAATTTGGAGGCAAGATGCAGGAAAGGAGGTCTCCATTTATTTAGGAAACAGAAGTGAAGTGACTCCGCATCAGTTGTGGGTCAGCTGACAGCCTGGGTAGGGTGATTTTCATACCCTTTGTGACTTTTGAGATTGTGGTGTCTGGTGGGGTTATTTGAGTAGATTAGATTAAATGAGATGAGGTGATTAGATTAGATTAGAAGGACCAGGGAGACATGATAGCAGTGTTCCAATATTTGGGGGGGCTGTAACACAGAGGAAGGGGCTCAACTTGTTTTCCAAAGCACCTGAAAATGGATGGAAACTGGTCAAAGAAACAGATTTAACCTGGAAATGAGGAGAAATTTTCTGGCAGAGAGAACAATCAACCCATGGAACAGGAGTTGCCTTCGGAAGTTGTGGGAGCTTCATCCCTGGAGGCTTTCAAGAAGAGACTGGACGGCCATCTGTCACAAATGATGTAGGCACTGTAATGTCTCCTGCTTGGGCGGGGGGTTGGACTACATGACCTACAAGGCCCCTCCCAACTCTGTCATTCTGTTATCTGATTCTGTATTGTAATGGTCCCTGGGTGGTGGTCAGGGGTCAAGGCTAACCTTGGGGAAAGGTGGAGAATGGAAATCCTGTGTGGCTTTGTGTTTTCCGACTTAATCCTTAATCCTGTCAATCCAGTCTCTCTCAGTCTTGTAACCAGGGTTACTTGAGGCCAATCTGGCTGGCAGGCAGGGATCGCTTTAGTTTTCTATGTGTCTCAAAGGTGCCTTTTTTTCAAGAGATAGCTAGACTTTCTGGTTTTCTTTGAAGACATTTCGCTTCTCATCCAAGAAGCTTCTTCAACTTCTATGGATGGGGTTTTTTTGGCCTTCTCTGGGGGCATGAAAATAAAGAGGGGTGTGTTTGTGTCTTACAATATTTCCTACAATATGAAAAATGCTCATCGTCTTCTCTTTCCTTCCATCTTTTTTACCAACATTAGAGCCTTTTCCAGAAAGCTGAGCCTTTGGGATGAAGCGTCCAAAGTAGCATAATTCGAGCCTGGTCATTTGTACCTAGATTGAGGATTCTGGATTGATTTGTTCAATGATCCATTTCTTGGCTTTTCAGTGACATTTTCATACATTCCCTCCGATCCCAAAATTAATTTCCTCGCTCTTCACCATCAACAGTCCTCAATTTACAACAATTCATTCAGGGATTGATGTTGCAACGGCAGTGAGAAAAGCGACTTTTGACCATTTTTCACTCTTACGACCGTTGCAGAATCTCCAAGGTCACGTGATCCAAATTTCGGCTGCTTGACAACTGACTCACAGTTATGACGGTCGCAGTGTTCTGGAGTCATGTCCCTTTTGCAACCTTCTGACACACAAAGTCAATGGGGAAGTTAGATTGACTTAACAACTGCGATAGAATAGAATAGAATGGAATGGAATAGAAAAGGTCTACTGAGAATTGAATAGAATAGAAATAGATTCTACTGAGAATAGAATAGAAATAGAATAGAATAGAATCTACTGAGAATAGAATAGAAATAGAATAGAATCGAACAGAAAATATGGAATGAAATAAAGTAGAATACAATAGAAATAATAGAACAGAACAAAACAAAACAGAAGGATTGGAATGGAATAGAATAGAAATATGGAATGGAATAAAGAATAGAATAGAAATAGAAATAATAGAATAGAACAGAATCTTTACTGAGAATAGAATAGAAATAGAAAGTATAGAATAGAAATAGAACAGAACAGAGTTGGAAGGAATCTTAGAGGTCTTCTAGTCCAGCCCCCTGCTCAAGCTGGAGACCCTATACCATTTCAGACAAGTGACTGTCTATTCTCTTCTTTAAAACCTCCACTAACTTAACCATTGCAGTGATTCACTTTACAACTGTGGCAAGAACAATAATAAATAATAAAGTGAGACAAAACTCGCTTAAGAACTGTCTCGCTTATTAACAGAAATTTTGATCTCGATTGTGGTCATAGGTCTAGGACTACTGTGACTACTTTTCCACAGTCATGTACACTCACCCACAAAATTCTCTTTATCGACCCAGCCTTCCCACCCAACCGACTACCCTCCTGCAGCTACCACTGTGATCCTTAAAAAAAGCTCTATTCTGATTGATATTGATAATCAAGGAGAGAAGCAACCTAGAACTAAGGAGAAATTTCCTGACAGAACAATTAATCAGTGGGACGACTTCCCTCCAGAAGTTGTGGATGCCTCCAACACTGAAAGTTTTAAAGAAGAGATTGGACAACCATTGGTCTCAAATGGTATAAGGTTTCCTGCCTAGCAGGGGGTTGGATTAGAAGATCTCTGAGGTCCCTTCCAACTATGTTTATTCTATTCTATTCTATTCTATTCTATTCTATTCTATTCTATTCCA